AGAGGGCCGCGGCTCTGCCCGGCATGGCAGCGCGGCCAGCGCCTCCCTCCGCCCCTCTCTCCCCCTCGTCATATGCGGCAAACAGTCAAATTACTTTCCCGTAATTTATTATCGGATACCACCCTCTCCGCCCCTCGCCCTCCTCCGCCCACCTGATCACGCGGCGCGCGCGCGTCCCGCTCGCTCGCGTTTGTTATCATAAAAGAGAAGGGAATATGAGAAATTCCTCGCGTAAGCGTATCAACGGCCCCGGCGCAAAGGACTGATGTATGGAATGAATGTGGAACGCGCGCGCGGGGCGAGGGGGTCCAAAGGGGAGGGGGAGGAGGGGGAGCTGTGACGGCCGTTTTGCTGAATTACTTGCCTTGAAACGGTTTTCTGATTTTTATGGATGCTTTCATTTCTCCATCTCTGCTGGAGGACAAGGGAGGGGTATAAGGGCGCAGACCTGCGCCTCCGGCCTCGCGGGCCTTCACACACACGCACACACATGCGTACGTAGGTGTGTGGTGGGGGAGGCCTTTCCCTCTCCAGCCTATCGGGCCACTCACGCACACGCACACACACACACACACACACACACACACACACACACACACACACACACACACACTTGCCACGCGGATGGTCCCACCCCTTACCCACTCCACCTTCCCCCTCCCCCCGTTGCCCCATTCACCAGGAAATATGTCCCTGTCAAAGCAAAGCCCTAACCTACCGCATGTGCCCGGGTGGAGCGCGCCGAGCCTGCCCGCGCCCGTGCCTGTGGGACTTCTTTGAGACGCCGATGACCTACTTGGGCACGGCCCGTCCGCCCCCTACTGGGACCGCTGGAGATCTCCAGCTCGAGCCCCGCGAGCCCCGCCCGGGATCCCGCAGAGGTCGTGAGCCTCAGACAGAGTGCAAGACGCGAGCAGAGTGCGGGAGCTGCGGCGGCGGCGGCGACACCGAAAAAAAAAAAATATACACGGGAAAGTGCTAAGTCACACCTTTCCGTGGGTCCTAAAGAACTTTTGAGTTTAATGCTTCTGTAAAAGGTACAAGCAAGCCGTAAATGTAGTGTAAATGAATTCCCTTTTGCCGTGTTAATGCCTTTCCTACAGGCACTAAACCCTTAGCACTTGTGACAGGTGCGACTTCTCACCTTTGGGTTTCTGTATGGATGTCGTGTGATCTTTCAGGTGAAGGAGTACGAGTTGTCTGAGGTGTTCCGCCACACCGAGGACAGCCAGCACTTTGACGTGTTCCGCGCCGAGCCGCAGCACCCCAACAGCATCCCGGTGCTGGGGACGGACGGCGTGCAGCAGGAGATCGAGGAGCAGCGCCAGGAGGAGGAGCAGAGGATGGAGGAGCAACGGCAGCAGCAGCAGCAACACGAACTCACCACCGTGGGGTGGGTAGCGCAGCGCAGCTCTCGCGCAGCGCCAGCCAGACAAGGTAGGCAACACATCCGACACTCACCGTCGTGCTTCATCACCCCCGTCTCCTCCAGGTGGGCGAGCACGCCGATGAGCCGCAGGGCGACCGCGGTGGGCGACAAGGCCGCCGCCGCCGTGGTCGACTCGATCCTCAACACGTACGGCCCCGCGTACACGGTGGTGGTGGCCGACGGCGGCGGCCCCTCCCCGCCGACCAGCGCCGCCCCGAGCACCGCCGCCCCGCCGACCCCGGCGCCCAGGAGCCAGCGTCGCAAGCACAAGACCGTCCGCAAGATCCGTGAGTACATAATCGCGAGGCCTCTTCACTCTTAATGAATCAGTGTACACCCTCCAAATAAGAAATTAGTAAAAGTCAGAAACATCAGGGAAAAATTAATTGAAAAGTAAGACAAAAAATCAGAAAAAAATCAAGAAAAATTAAGAAGAAACCTGATGAACTGGTGTACGCTTGAATTTAAAGTTAAGTAAGTACCCCTCGGTACATCGCAGCCGTGACCGTTGAGAACATTACGCAAAATTGACGCCGTTTTAATGAAATTGAGTGTCTTTTTTTTGACGGCTCTCGAGTCTAATTCGCCCTTCTCTGTGTGCCGCAGGAGCGCCGCGGGACTGCCGGGTGGGCGAGTGGGGCCCGTGGAGCGAGTGCTCCAAGTCGTGCGGCATCGGGGAGATGCAGCGGCGGCGCACCGTGGTGAAGCACCCGCGGCGCGGCGGCCGGGTGTGCCCGCCGCTGCTGGAGACCAAGTGGTGCGGCTCGGCCAGGGACTGCGCCAAGAGCTACTTCAAGTGGTGAACAGGTGCGTGCGCGGCGTATGTGTCTGACCCGAAGGGGGTCGTCCAGAAAGTACGTCCTGTTCGCCGTACCGCAACGGCCAAGCCCGCATAGCGCCTGATGGGTAGGCAACATATTGTGTGCTGCGCATGCGTGTTGTGCGGTGTGGCCTACCCCGAGTCTCGCAGGCGCCGAGCTCCCGTACTTTGCCGAGGGAATCAGAAAAGCACACTACTTTCTGGACGATCTCCAAACCACCTGAGGTTTTCTTTTATTTATTTAAAAAAAATACAAATTTCTTTTCTAAAATGTTGCAGGTGTTGGTCCTGGGCTTGGCCGAAACGAGTCCGGAGAATGGGTACCCAATGCCCTGCTGGCCCAGGGGCGCCGCCCGGGCCGAGGAGGCCCAGCAGGGGACGGGCGGGACAAGAGGAGTCGCTGTTCAGTAGAGGACGCCGCCGACCCGCATCGCCCACGCTGCCATCGCTGACAGTTGACAAACTTCTGGGACCCGCAGTGGGCCACACAGTGGGCCACACAGCCATATCGAGCAACATGCCAGGAGTGTCAGCTCAGTACAAAAGAAAAAACGAGCACACGTTATTTTTCTATCTACTGTTGTTGTTAGTCCGAGTGAGAAATGGAGCAAGCCGACATTCGTGTTGTATCTAGCGTTTCCGAATTCCATTTCCGAAGGTAATTATGTAGACCAGCTACTTACTTGTTTATCACCTGTGAGGTACCTGGCTTCAGATCAGCAATTTCTTGAAGTAAACTCTACTAGTACCTTTCTAAACTATTCACAATAAGATGTTAAGTCAGCATTAAACCTGAAACTCCTGTCTCAAAAGAAAATAAGTTGTATTTTCACTAGATTTTTTTTATTACGTTTTGTTTTTGTTTTTTTTGAAGGTCTATGTATAAAGATTTTGTATCTTGTATATCTTGTGTAGTGTATGTAGACAATGGTTTGGGCCATAAAGTAGAGCCTTACAAAAAGGTTCAGTTTAATTTTCATACCAGTTGGCCTGTTTGATATAAAGTGATAAGGAGCTGGATTTTATTCGGTCAAGGCAATCAGCAGCTTTCATAATCTAGTCTGAAATCTAGTCTTTTCACTGCTAAAAGTTGTAAAACAACTGCATATACATTATAGCTCCCTGGGCTTCTTTCCTTTTTTAACAAAATCATGTTTTCCATCATATTTCCTACAACACATGTAGAGTTTCGGTTAGACATGATAAGCATTTGATTGATTTGCCAGGAACCCTTTCTCACATACTCATACTTTTACTGAAAATAATTTAAGTTTTTGTAGCCCTTTAAATCAGTATACAGTCTAATGTTTAAACTGATAATTAAATTAACTCACTAACCTAAAGCTTCCAAAGTTTCAATATCATTGTTTTTGTTATACTTAATAATGAAAAGAATTATTTTCAGATCCAGGGATTCCTAGTGAGAACACACAATCAAAATGGGGTTTAAAAACAGGTCTGTGTGGACATCATTTTGACGTCTAATAAGTCCCTATCTGTGAGGACTATGATTTTGTTTTGACCTTAAAGGTCAAATTGACACCTCTTTAATGTCATTTTGACTTAAGTGTTCTCTTTGGGTTGTGTTCAATGCCTTTTTCATTGAATTTATGCCTAAGAATTTGTAAATTGTACTATTCTAATGGTTGTCATATGTTGTGCTAGTGTATAGACATTCATTCATTCCTGAATTATAAGTTAATATTTTTAAAGAGGTGGTTGAATGTGCCATTTAAGCTGTATGGATGCATTTCACTTTAAAATTTCAAATAATTTACTAATTTTTTTCAGAAATCTCCTCTTTCTCCGACTGACCTGAAATGTAAGTGTTATGAAAGTTAACTGTCAATCAATGATGTGTTATGTGTAAAAAAAATAGTGATTGAATACAAATATAGCATTAGTAATCTAAGGTCTTATTTTTCTGGTGGGCTGTTGTACAAACACTTCACTTGGTCAAATCAGAATGCCAATCTCACAACTTTCCAAGTTTTAATATCTCAGTTAAAATATTCATCCACATGATTGCCTATTTTAAGATTCACATACATATTGCAGAATACCTTATCATCGTGTTTTCAAACGACAATGTAAAACTAATTAAATATGACATTGAACTATGTCTGGTGGGCAGCGCAGGCGCTTTTCATCCGTTGGGTAGGCAACCCGTGCTACTGACCCGAACAGGCAAAAACGGGTTTCCTACCCAAAGGAAAATAACGCCTTACTTTGACCGCCACTATCTGGTATTAAAATGTGCCTAGCACTAACATTAAAACCTTTTATAAAGAATAACAAATACTCAATACCCACCTCGAAGTAGATTAATACTATCATCTGGACAGAATGCTGTGCATTGTTATTTACATACGGGAGTTACATACACGTGCTGCACCTGCACCCCTCCTAAGCCACCCTAAGTCAGTCCGAGCAGCTGTGTCGGCGCGCGGGCCGGAAGCTAGGCCCGTTGACCGCCGCCGCCCGGCCCCTGTGCTGCAGCTGCGCCCGCTGTTGCGCCTGCAGGTGTGCTGCTGCCTCCTTGTCTTCCACGTCATCCAACCACACGAGGAACGCTTGCTGGGCCTCGTACTGCCTTTGCTGGCGTTTCTCTTGCTCCATGGCCTCCAGGCGGGTCTCTTTCCGCCTAAGGGAAACAAAGCATTACTTAGTGTATAATGACTTCCATGCGTCGTCGTCTACCTCCTCTCTCATCAAGAAAAAGATTTGGCACGCTACTCTCCGATCATTTACCTTGTCCTCTCTTCAGTCTTTTTGATCTGCTGCTCCTTCTCCGCCTTCCAGCGTTCAAACGACTTCTCGTTCATCTCTTTCCTCTCCTTCTCCTTCCTGTCCATCTCCTGCCGTCGCTTCTCCTCTGCCCGCTTCTTCTTCTCCGCTTCTTCCTTCTCCTGCTCCTTGATTCTCTTCCTCCACATTTCGTACGCCTGCGCCATATGGGAAGATCGTTCGAATCAAACACTCTACAGTCGCAAAAATGTGAGCAGGGACACATAACACAAAGGCGGCAGATTCACCCCGCCCACTTATTTCGTTGTGGAACAGAACTGCGCGTGCAGCGAGCGTGTGCGACGCGGCTTGCATTCTTGCTCGGCCGCAAAGCAAACTCACTCGCGCGCACGGAACGGAATAAATCCAAGGGGCGATTTACTAAAAAATAATCAGCGTACCCTCCAAACAAAAATAAAAAATCAATGGAAAATCAGATAAAAGTCAGAGAAATTAATAAAATTAAATTTTAAAAAATCAAGTAAAGACAGTTATTGGTATCCGCTTGAATTAATAGTGAAGTATCCCTTCGGGTGAATGAGTCACCTGATGTGCGCTCACCTTCTCGGCGTCCTCGCGGCGCTCGCCGGCGCCCGGGCGAGCGTGCCTGGCGGGCAGCCTGCTGTCGCCCTTGGCCTGGCCGGCGCCCTGGGCGCGCTGCTCCTCCTTGGCGCGCTTCCACTCCTGGAAGGCTCGCTCCGCGCGCTCCGGCGTCACCAGCCGCTGCATCGAGTGCGTGGCCCTGAGCGCCTGCCCCTGCCGCGGCCCCAGGCCGCCGGCCGCCCCGGAACTGCAACCACACCCCAGCATGAGAGAAGGGCGCCCTGGAGTCCCAGCTTTTTCCCCCCGAGAAGCCGCTTGACACACTTTGGCAACGTCCTGACGCCGCTGTATTGGTCGTAGAGCATTTTGAAGGAGCGCGTCGGATTCAGCACGTTTAGACGAAGAGGAAGATGTGCTGTATGATACTGTTTGAAAACCTGGAAGCCGGCCTGA